AGAAAGTGCCACTCCTACCAGGGCGTGCGACATTGGCACGCATAGAGACCGCGCTGAGGGACCGCCCCCTGCGCACCCCCTCTGGTGTCGAGAAAGTGCCACGCCTGCTAAGCCCTGCAACATTCGCGCGTATAGAGACCGCGCTGAGGGACCGCGTATAGAGACCGCGCTGAGGGACCACCCCCTGCGCACCCCCTCTAGTGGCGAGATTATGCCACGCCTGCCGTGTCCTGCGCATCCTACACGTGTGTTTTGTGTATGGCATGTCATGTGTATGTGTATGATGCGTGTGCGGCCGTATCTGGACGTGTGTCTTACGTGGGTGCCCAGTATTTGGTGCATACGTATTGGGTGTATGATGCAGTGAACACGCCAAGCGTGCACTAGCGTTGTATGGTGTATGTTGTGTGTGTACGAGTATGTGTGTGTGCATGCGTGCGGCTGCATGTAGACGCGTCTGATGCATGTGCCGTGCATGGGTTGCGTGTGGGTGAAGGGAAGAAGGAAGTGGAGGAGGGGAGGAAGGAGGAGGGAGGGGAGGTGTGTGTGTGTGCGGGAGACGCGGGTGTGACGCGGCAGGGATGAAAACCAGAACCCCACGAAACATGTGGTGAACAAGGCAGTCCCAGCCAGAAATGCTCTAAGAACATTTCGTGGAAACCACAAAAGGTTCTTGGAACATTGCTTGGTAGGCCTATAGGCACTCCAGGACGCTTCGCCACTGCTTGAACAGCGGGGGGAGCGCGGCGCTCCACCAAAAAACCCATGAGGGGGAGGGGCTCGTCTTCCTGGCTGGCACTGCGTTGCCCCAGGCAGGACTCCCATGGGGACGCCACCAGACGGTCAGACGGCCAGCAGAGCACCCGGAGGCCTCGAAGACGGCCCAGGGAGACCTCGAAGAGAGCCTCAAAGAGCCCAAGACGGAAGAAGATGGCCCCAAGACTACACGATGCCCCAGGAGAGGTCCAAGCAAGACGCCCCCTGGAGAGCAAAAAAACAGAAAAACAGATGTGCACCATCGTTTTTTACCTGTCCCATATCCTGTTGGGATATCCTCAGGTCGCTTCAAGTCGGCCCCCAGAGCCCCCGAGATCGACCAAGACGGTCCCCAGCTGGACCCTCAAGGCCCCGAGATGCCGCCAAAATCCCCCAGAATGGCTACACGAGGCCCCAGGATGACTCCAAGATGCCCTCTATGAGGCCCCCAAGATGGAGCCCCGAGGCCCCAAGATACCCCCCAAGAATGCCCAATGCGCCCCAAACGTTGCACGAGAAGCCCAAAGATGCCCCCAGGAGGCCCCAAGACGGCCCCGAAATAACCCCAATAATGATCTGCCCATCCACGAGGACGGGCAGAGAGCCACATCCACCACCCTGGGTGATCCCAGGGCACGACCCCGCCGCGGGGGATATGCGCGCAGTGGAACCAAGAGGCCAGGCAGTACTCAGAGGATCTTGGGCCAGAGCCCTCACGGGGGGGAAAAAAAGAGCGAGAGAGAGAGAGAGATACATATATATATATATAAACATATATACATGTATATATATATATATTACATATATAAATATATATATCAGCCAGGCGCGCGGGCGAACCGGCGTTCCTTCGGCATCAGCAGGTCCACGCCGAACGGCATGCCTGGCTTCAGGTTCTTCTTCACTTCCTCCGCCCCGCCGCGCCGGCGGCGGGGCCCAGAGCCAGCAGGCCGACGCCGACGACCTCCCTCCCCCTCCTCCTCCTCCTCCTCCTCCTCCTCCTCCTCCTCCTCCTCCTCCCCCTCCTCCTCCTCCTCTTCCTCCTCCACCTCCTCCTCCTCCTCTTCCTCCTCTTCCTCCTCCTCCTCCTCCTCCTCTCCTCTCCTCCTCCGCCTCCCTCCTCCTCCTCCTACTCCTCCTCCTCCTCCCCTCCTCCGCCCTCCTCCTCCTCCTCATCCTCCTCATCCTTCCTCCTCCTCCTCCCCCTCCCCCCACCTCCCCTTCCCACTCCCCCTCCTCCTCCTCCTCCTCATCCTCCTCCTCTAGATCCTTCCTCCGCCGTCCGCCGCCGCCGCCGCCGCCGCGCCCTCCGCCTCCCGCCTCCTCCTCCTTCCCCTCCGCCTCGCTCCGCCTCCGCCTGCGCCTCCGCCTCCGCTCCTCCTCCTCCTCCTACTCTCCTCCCTCCTCCTCCTCCTCCGCTCCTCCGCCCTCCGCCTCCTCGCCTCCTCCGCCTCCTCCGCCTCCTCCGCCTCCTCCGCTCCTCCGCCTCCTCCTCCTCTCCTCCCCTCCTCTTTTCTTTAGTCTTGCCGCACTTCTGTAGTGCATTATTATTATTATTTTTATTCTTATTCGTCTTCTTATTATTAGTAGTATTATTATTATTATTATTATTATTATTATTATTATTATTATTATTATTAGTAGTAGTAGTAGTAGTATCATTATTATTAGTATTATTATTATTATTAGTAGTATTAGTATTATTATTATTATTAGTAGTAGTAGTATTAGTATTATTATTATTATTAGTATTATTCGTATTAGTATTCTTCGTATTATTATTAGTAGTATCATGATTGTTCTTAGTATTCTTAGTATTATTGTTATTAGTATTATTATTACTATTATTATTAGTATTATTAGTAGTATTATTATTATCATTATTATATTATTATTATCATTATTAGTATTATTATTATTGTTAGTATTATTAGTATTTGTCGTAGTATTATTCGTATTATTATTCTTACTATTATGATGAGTATTATTATTGTTATTATTAGTCGTAGTAGTATTATTAGTATTAGTATTCTTAATATTATAATTATTCGTATTATTATCATTCGTCTTCTTCTTGTTATTCATATTTTTCTTCTTATTATTATTCGTCTTTTTCTTCTTCTTATTATTATTCTTCGTATTCGTCATATTCTTCTTATTCGTCCTCTTATTCTTATTAGTAATGTTAATAGTATTATTCTTATTGTTCTTCTTATTATTATTCTGCTTATTCTTCTTATTCTTATTATTTTATTATTATGATTATTCTTATTATTATTATTAGTTGTCTTATTATTCTTAGTTGTCTTCTTATTATTATTATTCTTATTATTATTCTTATTATGCTTATTATTATTATTCTTCCTCTTCCTCCTCCTCCTCCTCCTCCTCCTCCTCCTCCTCCTCCTCCCTCCTCCTCCTCCTCCCTCCTCCTCCTCCTCCCATCTCCTCTCCTCCTCCTCCTCCTCCTCCTCCTCCTCCTCCCCTGCCTCCTCCTCCTCCTCCTCCTCCTCCTCCTCCTCCTCCTCCTCCTCCGGGTGTTGGTGGTTGTTGTTGTTGTTGTTGTTGTTGTTGTTGTTGTTGGTGGTGGTGGTGGTGGTGGTGGTGGTGGTGGTGGTGGTGGTGGTGGTGGTGGTGGTGGTGGTGGTGGTGGTGGTGGTGGTGGTGGGGATGCCCGTTGCCGCCGAACTCGCGAGCCCTGGTCCGGTCCTGTGGTCCGCCGGCCCCTCTCGGACGCTCAGTGGCGCCTATGCCGCCTCGCGCCGGGGGCCCCGCTGGCCCAGGGACGTCACGAGGTGTTGACGGCGCTTCGCGCTACCACCAGCCGCCAGGGCAAAGTCACCCTGCTGCTTTCACTTCAGAGGAGGAGGAGGAGGAGGAGGAGCAAAACCACCGATCGATATCGCTCGCCAACACTATCATCAAGCACCACTACAGGTATATACGACAGTACATGAACGACTTGTTACCTGGGATATTCTTCAGCACTCAGATGGGAGGCCGAAACCACTACAGCACGGACTACAACCACCTCATAATGCGACTGACCTTAAACCGAACAGCCGCGGAAGGAACCAACCTCATCATGATCATGATCGACATGAAATCTGCCTTTCACGAGGTAGCCACGAACCTGGTATACGACATGCAGATGAGCAGCGACGACATCGACAACCTGATATGCCACATGGACATCCTTCAATGCATGCAGCCGGCTATACAGACCCTCATGAACAGCAACGGCATCGTCAGCATCCACATAGACAACAAGCATTTACTCTCGATGCTGACCGAAGCCCACCGCAACACGTGGTTCTTCACCGAGCGCGACTCAGACTACGCAGCACCAAGGCTAGGAACACGACCAGGAGTACCTATGGCCGACTACACGTTCAACGCGCTGATGTCTGCAGTAACGAAAGACTATCATGAAGAGGCCATTACAGCGAAAGCCACAGTAAGAATACCAGGCAGCCCACCAGTATTCTGTACCAATCCTGAAGACCAGCACATGACAACAACACCATTCGTGGACGACGTGAAAGCTATGGCAACGGTCACCGACGGCAATGCGATCGAGACTACAGTCAAAACCATGTCGGGGATACTGATACGAACTACACTATCGCGAGGACGACCCATCAGCATTACCAAGTCCAACTTCCTCATATTCGCCAGCAACAAAGATGGAAAAAAAATTGCGAGACTAATGCATGTTGACCAGAAACAGTACACGGAAATGGGGATGACAGTCACAATCACACGAACGCTCAAAGTCCTGGGCGCAATGGTGAATGGTCGGAATGACTGTACCCAGAAGCTGCAGCACGTGTACTTGCCCTAGAGGAGGCTACCACTCCGAAAGACGGAGTTCAAGCGCGACCAGATCACCAATACCGCCAAGATACACTATCTCAACGCTCTTGGCTACTCACGAATACTATACAATGCAGGAACCTGGATACCAGCGAAAAGGACGGACACGGACAGAATCGCCATTGCATACACAGCAGCTGCGAGGATGGCATTGGGCATTGATCATCAGACAACCCAGCGTGGGAAGATCACCAACATCGAGATCGTCAGCTGGGCAGGCATCGTGACACTCCCACAAAGACTACGGCAGGCAAGGTTGCGGGAGATTATACGGTTAACGACCGCCTGTCCGATTGAGCTGAGAGCCCTGCTCGACTACGACATTGAGAACAATGGAAGATGGTCTACAACGATTGCAGACGACCTCTACCACATCAAAACGCACACCAGCAAGCACCTTAAAACGCCCAACCACGACGACATGCGCCAATGGATAGGCATGGCAAACGAAGAACCATCCAAATTCAAAAGTATTACTACGCATGCCTACAAGACAGCCATCGAGTCCAACAAAGAAAAAGCAGCCGCAGCTGCCTGGAGAAGACGCATCAATGACATGTGCGACGGCACCATCATCCCTACGCCCGAGAGCGAAGGCCCTCAACATGACGGGAAGTACATTTGTTACGAATGCGGGCAAATCATGAACGACAAGGCGGCGTACCAAAAGCACATGCGCGCGAAGCACAGCCAGCAAGAGAACGTAGTCAACTACATCCACGGGACTACATGCCAGGCCTGTGTGAGGGAGTACTGGTCGGTCAACAGATTGCACAAGCACATGTGCGCCAGCAGACGGTGTGCATCGCTCGCCATGAAGTTCAGCAAGCGGCACGACGACGACGCAGCCAACGACATATCCGAGGAGATAAGGCACATGCGTTGGACCAACAAAAAAAGGACTACCCGAAGATTACGCAGCACGCGCTTGCGTCCAACTCCACGGACCATCACTCGCGCTACGTACAGACGCCAAGCACGATTGCACTTCGATGATTCCTGCACCAGTCCCGATGTCACCGCAAGCAGATGAAGGGCACGACGTCCGACGAGAACAGAAGGAAGACGTCCTACCAAGCGATCGTCGAATACATCATACGCGAGTGGATACAACCGACGGGGAGACGGAAGGGCCATGCAACGGCGGGGTACAACAGACTACGATACTGCGCTCATTACCGACCAGAACGCCACCAGTGCGGATACCATGCGCATCATCAACGGCATCGAGCGGCAAGCGGAGATACAACACCGACGCGTGCGCATACTCACCGTAGCCAACCACACGAGCCAGAAACACAACGAAAGAAAAGCCGACTTCAACAACGCTATCCACGATGCTATACTGAATGGTACAATCGACGCCATCTATTACAAGAAGTCCACCCCGAGCATAGGCAACAGCAATCAATTCCGCGACGAGCAACACCCGTGGGGCAGAATAGATGAGAGCAGACACGACTACACGACCATCACGGAAGATAAAGCGAAGATACGAGACGCCATCGCCCTCATATACACGTGCGTCGCCGACGACACGGCTTGCATGATAAATATCGGACCTATGACGACAACCGCCCCACGAGAGCGACAACATCTGGAGAGAGACCGACCGAGTCATTACCAGCAACCATTTCCACAACACCAGCGACGGCGAGGACGACACGACACGTATTCTGGCTGCTGCACGCGGAAGTAACCATAAAGACGGAAAGGAGATCGGCGACCTCAATGAGTACGTCACACACCACGACCGACACCATGTGGACAGCGAGCAGACGAGCCCACGAGCGGACCCCACAAAGCACAGCGCCGAAGGGTGGGGGACGCCGTGACGCTGCACCATGGGCTCGCTGACGGTAAAACGCAAGACCCATCCTAAAGCACGCAGACAGTCGCTTCCTGGGGAGCCATCTGGAACACATCTTGGAGCCTGCATCCCGTCGGAAAATAGTCAGGTGGCGAGAGTGACCCGTGGCGTCTCGGGGAGCCGTGGTTCTCCCTCGGAGCCACCATCCCCTTCGGAGAGCTGTCTGGGGCTGAGGACGAGGGCCACGGCTCCACAGTGCGAACAGGGGCTGCGTGCGGCGGACCCTTGGGCACACGTCGCCTCACCCTGCTGCCCGCAACAGGGGCACAGGACCACCGAGCGAGGCGACCTCTCCCCACGGCTCGGCGGCACCTCGCACGCGGAGCACCGCACCATCCAGAAGGCCCCCCCTCGGCGGTGAGCGTGCCTACACTGGACTCATTTCTATAGCGCTCACTTCTACAGTGCTCACATTCAAATTGCAGTCCAAAAGGGGCCGCACATGCAGGCACATGCCGCACAGTCGAATGCACATGCCCATGCAACTCCACAAAAGCCTCAACAGCACTGCCGCACATGCGCGCACATGCCGCACAGTCCGATGCACAAGGGAAAAGGCCTGGGGGGTGACGGCGGCCGCCGAGGGGGGAAGAGGAGACGGGCTCCCTCTGACAAGGGGGCGGCGATCCCGAGGCCATCGGTGGCCTTCCCCCCCCCTTCTCCTTCTAGGTCTGCCCAGGAGGCCTCCTTCCCTCCCCCCTCTTGGCCTGGCCGCGGCGTAGAGTGTGGGCCCCCCCCCCGGATTCCATTCTCGCTTTTGCCTTACGGTTGCCGCCTTGGCTCTCTCCTGCGGGGGGGGGGCACTCGTGCACAAGAATTTTGGCGCCCCCACCATCACCTCCGCGTCGCATTCGCGAGAAGGAGGTCGACTTCCACTATGGAGGTGGTGGTCGGGGGTGCTAAGTGACCTAGGCCTCGGGTTTTTGACTTGTGGTCCCTCGGGCCCCGCCTCCCTCCTCCCTCGAGGCCCTTTGAGGTTGTTTGCGGTTTTTTCCTGTCCCTCGGCGGGGTCTCGGGCCCAGAGGCCGTTTCCTGAGGCTCCCACCTCCTGCCTCAGCTGCCCGACTGAGGCAGAGGGTGGGACATAGGTACTGTTGTCCGTGCTCGGTACAAATCTGGGCGCGCCCTCAGCGCGCGGTGCCCGCGCGCGGAGGGGCTACGCGGAGCGAGACCGCGAGTGGCCCGCAGCGTCAGGAGGAGGAGGAGGAGGAGGAGGAGGAGGCCGACGAGGAGGACGAGGAGGAGGAGGAGGAGGAGGAGGAGGAGAAGGGCCAGAGGTGGACAGAGGGAAGGGCTGGAGGAGGAGTGCTGGAGCATCGCCCTGGGAGCACAGTGCCCCGCCTCGTATGCTCGGCAGCGGCGCAAGGGCGGGCCTACATTTTGAGTGCACTTGGATGTGCGGTCGACTTCCACTCTGATGCGCATTCCGATCGCCATTGGAGTTCCATCCCCATGGGGCAAACTGCGGTTGGGGCCGAAACTGACATGCGCGTCGTGAGGACCTTCCACTCGCTCCACTCCTGCGTCGATGCTGCGTCGGATTCCGTCGACTTGGGCCGAGCTTGAGCCGAAGCTGCGTCGAACTGGAGCCGAACAGATCCGCTGATTGGGAAAAGGAAGGCTCCCAAAACGCGCACCTAACGAGGCCCTTTACCCCCCTGAGGGAACCTCGTCCGAAAACTCGATCCCCCTCGATCCTCGATCCCTCCTTTCTCTCTCCCTCTCCCCTCCCTTCCCTCTCCCTTCCCCCCTCCAGCTGATGACTGGGGCCTCCCTCCAGCCGCGGGTCAGCAGACCGCGTGCCCTGACGTGCCGCCTGGCAGTGACCAACGACCTCTGGCGCGAGCGTGCAGCCTCCCGAGGCCCCCTGGGCCCGCACCTGGAGCCGGTGCGAGCGCGCACTGGCGCGACACGCGCCGCACACGCCACCGTGAGCTCTGACGGCACACCGCGAAGATCCCCCTGGGCACACGACGGGCGATCTCCTTCGGGAAGCCCCGGGGGGGAAGCGAGCGAGCGAGAGCGGGCCGCAGCGGCAGGCAGGCAGGCGGCGGGAGAGGACGTGGTCCGCCCGGTCGCCGAGCCACGGCGCGCGCGAGCACCCGAGCTCGCAAGGCGTCGAGCACCCCTGGCGACGCGGGATGGCCCGGCCATCACGAGCGGCGAACGTATCCGCACCCAGGCCTGCGGCGTCTGAATTCCGGGGCGCGATGCCGCGGATACGCGGTCGCACGGATACGTTCCGCGGGGCAGCCGCGGAAAGGAGCCTGGTGGCCGCGGTTACGGATATGCTCTGCGCCCCCGAGGGCAATGCAGACAGTCCTGGGGTGAACACTCCCCGCCGTGGGGGCGGGCCTGCTGCTGACGCGCAGTGGCTTCGGGAGAGCGCGGTCACCGACTGGATTTGGGGGGGACACGCCTCGGAAGGCAGGCCAGGGGGGGGGCTGAGCTGGAGTTTATCTGTGCTTTGCACATCTCCCGCAGGATGGCCACAGAGTCGGCTTCGGCCAAATGATGGGCAATGGCACAAAGCTCGCGACAGTCGTCCATCGTAATATTTAGAATGGACTGGCCCCCAAAGTATTTGTACTTGTACTTGGCCAATAAAAGCACGCCACGACCACGTCACGTCACGATGACAGCAAGCCATCGAGTCCCAAAACTCCCCAGACACAGAAGATGGTGACGACGATGGTGCTGGTGATGGTGATGGTGATGGTGATGGTGATGGTGATGGTGATGGTGATGGTGATGGTGATGGTGATGGTGATGGTGATGGTGATGGTGATGGTGATGGTGATGGTGATGGTGATGGTGATGGTGATGGTGATGGTGATGGTGATGGTGATGTATGGTGATGGTGATGATGGTGATGGTGATGGTGATGGTGATGATGGTGGTGAGGTGATGGTGATGGTGATGGTGATGGTGATGGTGATTGTGATGTGATGGTGATGGTGATGGTGATGGTGATGGTGATGGTGATGGTGGATGGTGATGGTGATGGTGATGGTGATGGTGATGGTGATGGTGATGGTGATGGTGGTGGTGATGGTGATGGTGGTGATGGTGAAGTGATGGTGATGGTGATGTGATGGTGATGGTGATGTGATGGTGATGGTGATGGTGATGGTGATGGTGATGGTGATGGTGATGGTGATGGTGATGGGTGGATGGTGATGGTGATGGTGATGGTGATGGATGATGTGGATGGTGGTGATGATGATTGATGATGATGATGATGATGATGATGATGATGATGATGATGGTGATGATGGTGATGGTGATGGTGATGGTGATGGTGATGGTGATGGTGATGGTGATGGTGATGGTGATGGTGATGGTGATGGTGATGGTGATGGTGATGGTGATGGTGATGGTAATGATGGTGATGATGGTGATGATGGTGAATAGGTGATGATGACGATGACGGTGATGATGACGATGGTGCTGCTGCTGCTGATGTTGGTGATGTTGGCAACGACGATGATGATCATGATGGTGATGAAAATGTTGATTGTGATGGTGATGCTGATGATGAGGATGAGGACGATGACAGGGATGATAATGATAATGGGAAAGAAAAGTAGAATGATAATGGTGTTGGTAACAGTAACGACAACGATACTAATAATGGCAATGGCAGTGACGATGACAATGAGAACGTTCATGGCAACGATGAAGAGAACGAAATGACGACGATACTTATGATGCTGGTGTAACGATAATGATGCTGATGATGGTAGTGACTGTGATAATGATAATGAGAATAATAGCGAGAATAAAAATGATAATGATAATGATAACGATAGCGGGAATCGCAATGATAATGATACTGATAATGATAATTGTGATGGTGATGCTGATGATGATGGTGTTGATGATGATGGTGATGATGATGATAATATGGTGCAGGTGGTGATGGTGACGATGCTGACGACGATGATGACGACGATGATAACGACGATAACGATGATAACGGTGAGGATGACGATGACGATGATAATGAAGATGATGGTGGTGACAATGAGGGTGATGACGACAAGGACGAGGAGGATGAGAACGAGGAGGAGGAGGAGGAGGAGGTGAAAGGAGGCAGGTGGGAGGCAGGAGGAGGCGATCAGGAAGGAGGGGAGGGAAGCGGAAAAGGACGGAGGAGGCGGGAGCTGTGCCCTCTGCACTCCTGGCGCATTTCAGCCGCACCGCCCGCCGCCGCCCAATGCCGTGCCCTCCCACATTCCTTGGCCGACTCCTCCTTCTCCATCCTCGTCTTCACCCTCCTCCTCCTCCTCCTCCTCCTCCTCCTCCTCCACCGTTTTCCCTTTCCATCCTCCTCCTCCTCCTCCTCCTCCTCCTCCTTCCTCTCCTCCTCCTCCTCCTCCTCATCCTCCTCCTCCTCCTCCTCCCCCCTTTCTCTCATCCTCTCGTCCTCGTCCTCGTCCTCCTCCTCCTCCTCCTCCTCCTCCTCCTCCTCCTCCTCCTCCTCCGCCGCCACTCATCCTCGTTATCATCATCGCCCTGGTCATTGTCATTATCATCGGCCTCGTCGTCCTTCCCCCTCCTCATTTCCTCAACCGCGTCTTCCCCATGCTCCTTTCTCATCCCCCCGCGCGGTTGCCACTGCCTTCACCTCCATCACCCTTCGCAACCTCCCAACCCCCCCTCCGCTCTCCTCACCACAGTCGCCCACGACCAAAGCTGGAGGAGGGAGAAAGCACCCGGGAAGAGCAAACCCCCAGGGAAATGCCTACCGACAGCCCCCTGGAGCCCTGGTGAAAACATGCCAAGTATAGTCATCGCACTCCACCATGTGGAACTCGGAATTGGGAACGAAAGAGCTGTTCTGGCCACGGCGAGCCCCGGCCACGAGCAGATTACCGGACCTGGGTCTGAGGAGCGGCACGAAAGCCACGGCCCCTCCCGACCCCAGAACGGTCCTCATTTCAACGTCTTGAATGCAAGCCCCCCGAGCGCTCGCCTGGATTTCCTTTTTGAAGCCCTCCAACTCGAAAGTGACGCCGCCCAGGGTCCCTATGCCCCCAGCCTCGGCGAGATGACGGCCGGCGAAAGCGGATAAACCTCGCCCTATCGACTCGCGAGGGGGGGGCCAGACGGACGAGGACGGACGAGGACGAGGACGAGGACGAGGACGAGAATTGAGGAGGAGGAGGAGGAGGAGGAAGAGGAGGAGGAGGAGGAGGAGGAGGAGGAGGGAGAGAGGGAGCAGGAGGAGTAGGAAGAAAAGGAGGGGGAGGAAGAGGAGGACGACGACGACGAGGAAGAAGACCACAGTAAACCCAAGATGCGTTCAACGATGCTGCAATACATCCTGCCGTCCTAGATCCCTCTCATAAGTCCTTGTAAATCGTCTTTTTTCCACTTCAACAAACGCCCCTATGAGCGGCGCTCCTTTGAGCGACCAGCACCCGATGGGCCTGCAGGCGAGGGCCCCACTTTGCAAAAGGGCGAAAACAATTGCATATTTCCAACGAGACACCACGAACGCGCAAATGTATGGCCACACAGATTCAAAAGTCCCCAGCGAGATCCGCACGTTGACAAAGAACCGCCCTACTTGAACTACGGTTGCGCAACTTTCCGCTGGCGGCCACGCTCATCGAAGAGCGTTCAAACGAAAACTTCATTTTGAAAAAAGGAGCCGCCCTCTCTCCGCGCAGTTGTCGCCCCTGCGCAACTTTCCCATTTTGCATAAAAACGGAAGTCTCCCGCAAACGCGAACGTTTGAAAAGACTTGCGTTTTCAGCCGCCCAAGGGTTGCACATGTTCAACTTCGTGGTCCTAAAATTCAGAAGCGTCTTAAACGGCGAAAGGTCCGCTTTAAATACCAACCGCCCACAACCCCTGTAACTGCAACAAACTATCAAAGACGAATGTGCGCGGCGCTCTGGCGGTAACCACAGTACGAGAAGAAACCGCGCTCGAACCTTGGAAGCGCCGCGAGCTGTTGACACGCACGCGCGCGGCGCTAAGGCGAAGCCATCATTTGGAAAACGACCCCCCTCTCCATCCGTGAAACTGCCGCAAGTTTTCAAAACGAACGCGGGCGTCTCCATGGCGGGATCCACATTTTGAACATGACAGCCCACCATCACGACAAATGTTCAACAATGTCAACTTTCTGGATCATACACGGTGGAAAATCTGAAGCGACACGGACGGCCAACCCCGCCAACAAGTCTGGCGGGGCAAACGGAGCGGGATTCTTCACAAGAAACAGCGATTGAGGAGAAGGAGGGGAGGAGGAGGAGGAGGAGGAGGAGGAGGAGATGGAGAAGGAGGAGGAGGAGGCGGAGGAGGGGAAGGAGGACGAAAGCAAGGAAGGGGAGGAAGAAAGCGAGGAAGGGGAGGAAGAGGAAGAGGAGGAGGAGGAGGAGGAAGGAGGGGCAGGAGGAGGAGGAGGAGGAGGAGAAGGAGGAGGAGGAGGAGGAGGAGGAAGAGGATGAGGGGGGGGGAGGAGGAGGGGGGTCCGTCCGCGCGCGAAGTCTGGCTGGAAGCCGGCGCAATCCATCACCGCTCGGCGCCGGCCCCCCGCGGACGACCGTTGCTTGGCGCCCAAATCACCTAGCATCGGCCACCCTGGCCAGGGACTCTAAACTCCGTTACCCGGGAGCGCCGCGACGACCGCGAGGACGGTGTAGCGGGACTGCCGCCAGCGCGCGCCCGCCGCCGCCCAGCGCCAGGGTCCGCTGCAGCTTCGGGCGCAGGTCCGCGCCAGCCCACGGCGCCCCGGCCGAGGCGCCCAGCAGCGAGCGGGCAGCCCCCCCGCCGCCTGGCCAGCGTCGCCGGCAGCCGTCGCAGCGGCCGCGCGCCCCGCGTCGCCTCGCCGCCGGCGGATGCAGCGTCAATGCGCGCCTGGCCGGGGCGGCTGGCCGCCCGCCGCGTGCCAGCGCTTTGGCCGCCGCTGCAGCTCTGCCGCGGAAGCGGCAACGGCCACCTGCGGCTGTGGGCGGAGACCCCTGCCCGAGGTGGCCGTCCGCCCGAGGCGGACAGTCGACCCCGCCGCGGGCCCAAGAAAGACGGGGCAGAAGCGATCCCCACTCGAATCTGTGCCTTGGATGCTCATTCCGGGAACCTTCCTGGAGGCACTCGCTCCACTCGTGCGTCGAAGCTGCGTCGAGCGTCCGTCGATCCAAGTCGACCCTAAGTCGATCCTGTGTCGAACCTGAGTCGAACCTGAGTCGAACCTGAGTCGAACTTCAATCGAATTTGAGCCGAACTGGCATCGCACAGATCCGTCAGGCGGGCCCCCAGAGTACCCAAAACGAGCATCTAACGAACCCGCGCGGGCTGCTGAAGACGGCGGCCACCGCGAAGGGTTCCAGGAAGATCTGCGCCGGTGCGGGCCGCGGAAGGGGCAGTCCCCCCCCCCCCGTGGCGTGCGCGCGCGGCGCGGCGGCCGCGGGCGGGCGGGGGGGGGGCGCGCACACCGACGCGCGGGGCCGAGGCGCTGCACGCGACCACCCGGGTGCTGACGCGGAAGGAGAGGCAGTCGACCCGCAGAATGAGGATGCACGATGAGGATGCAAGGGCCTTGGAAGGCCGCTTCGAGGCTTTTCGAGCGGGGCGCGGCCCACGAGAGTCGCCAAGGATGGACCGAGGAGGCAAGGATGCACGGGTACCCTTGGGAAGGTTGCCAATCCTTCCATGCGCGTTGACTTTATGGAGAAGCTGGAGGAGGAGGAGGAGGAGGAGGAGGAGGAGGAGGAGGAGGCAGAGGAGGGGAAGGAGGAAGAAGTGGACCAGAAAGAAGAGGAAAGGGACGGGCAGGGGAGGGGGAGAGGAGGAGGGAGGGATGAGGAGACAGAGGAGGAGCCACTGCAAGATTCGAGAGCTGGAGACGAAGCTGAGCTATGTTTGCTCATGCGTCGATCTCGAACATTGACGTTTGCTGGGGGCCGAGGTTGAGGGGAAGAAGGGGGAAGGGGGAGAAGGGGGGCACGGGGAGTGAGGACTGGAGCAGGAGGGAAAGGGATAGGACCAAATTAAACCCAAGATGCATCAGCGATACTGCAAAACACTCTGCCGTTTATGTCATTTTTTCACTCGTCCCTACAAGTCTGTCTCCCTTGCTCACTACGAGAACCACCCACCTTGAAAGACCCGCACAATTGGGTCTGTTGGCAAGGGCCCCGCTTTGAAAAGGAGCTGCCTTGTATCCTTTTGGCGCGTAATCAGGAATGCAAGCGACTGTGATCATACAGTTCAACAGGGTGTCCAGCGAGATCCCCTTTTCGCAGAAGGACCGCCCCCGATCCACGTACTGTTGCACACGTTTACACTTGTGGTCTCGAGCTGGAGAAAAGACGTGAAGCGGCAACTCCACGTGAGTGACAGACAAAGACACACAAGACAAACCTTAAATATTCGTGTCTGGAAGATTCGCTTAGCGTCTCGCGAGATCTCCATTATGACAAAACTATCATCCACTCTTTTGCACGTGACATGTCCCCCCACCCCAGACACACAGAAAAAATGCACGCGGCGCTGAAGCGATAGCCCAATATTCAAAAACAAAAAAAATGTGCCTAGTCTTGTAAATGCTACAGGATGTTGAAGCACATGCGCGCGGCCCTACTTTGAAAAGGAACCGCCCTTCATCATTCAAACGATTGCAAACTGGAACAGCGAATACGCGTGGCGCTAAAGCGAAATACACCTTTTGAGCCATCCCCCGTCCATCCCTGATCGAAAACTTTAAAGACGAATGTGCGCGACGCTAGGGCACGAGCGACATGTTCAATCAAAAGGACTCGGCATCCATCCTTGAAAGTGTTGCAGCGATGGAGAACGAGTGTGCGCGGCGCCAAGGACAGAGCCCCTCTTTGAAAAGGAAACGCCCTCGACCTTGAAAAGACTGCAAATTGTAAGAACGTATGTGCGCGGCGCTACAAAGGAAGCCACATTTTGAAACCCCCCCGTCCATCCGTGATCACAAACATCCAAGACAAGTGTGGGCGGCGCTACGGCGAGAACCCCACTTTGAAAAGGAACCACCCTCCATCCTTACAACTGTTGCAAATATTACAAGATAATGCGCGCAGTGCAAAAGCGAGAAACATATGTTGAAAGTCCCCCCATCCTTGAAACTGCTGCCACCCTTCCATCCTTGAAACTGTTGCAACCATTTAGAGCGATTGTGCGCGGCGCTGAGGCGAGAACCCCATGTTCAAACCGACGTGTGCCCAATCCTTGTACGTGCTGCAAATGTCAAGCATCGAATTCACTAAAGGCAAGGACGTCAAAGCGAAACGCCGGGGCCGCCCTACCCACACGTCACGGCCGGGGATGCGACAGCGAGGCGTTATATCTTCATGAACAAAAGGTGTGGGCGAGGATAACCCCCAGCACGCTAGGCACCCGGCGTTGCTCACCGCTGACACCAGGTTGTGGCCCGAAACGCTTCCCATCCCAGCCAGCATAATGGGATACCTTAGGACGGAACAAACGAGATGACTATCACCGCCCCTTCCTCATCCGCTTCAACCTCCTCTTTCTCATCATCGTCATCAGCAGCAACAGCATCATAATCATCAGCAGAAGCATCACCATCATCAGCAGCACCAGCATCATCATCAGCATAAGCTTTATAAATCAACGTCGTGTTCGTCATCGTCATCGTCATCGTCAGCACCATCATCATCATCAACGTCGCCACAACCATCATCGCCATCATCATATTTACAATCATCATCACCGCCACCAGCATCATCAACATCACCATAAGCATCACCATCAACATCGACATCAGCACGATTGCCACCATAAGCATCGTCAATATCGGAATCCTCATCAATATCAGCATCATCAACAACATCGTCATCATCACCACCATCATCATAATCATCACCATCGTCACCCGCATTGTCATCATCAGCAACAGCATCATCACCGCCATCAGGATAAGCGTCACAACCACAATCACACCCGTCATCACAATCGTAATCATCACCCGCAGTATCGTCAACACCATCATCAATATCCGTATCATTGTCATCATCGGCATCGTCATCATCGTGGTCGTCATCCTCGTCATCGTCCTATTTACCAACACCAATATCCTCAGCATCGCCGTCATCATCGCCACTGTCATCATATTCAATTTCAGATCATCCGTATACACCATGATCGTCGTCATCGTCGTCGCAGTAACCCTCATCACGATCGCCATCACCACCATCAGCATCTGCCCTATCATCCTCCTCTTCATGGTCCTCCTCCAGCGCTTCCCCGAACCTGACACGTGAGGGATCCGATTGGCCCACCCACCTCTCCAACCAAGCCCTGAGCGGAGGGTCAAGCTGGGATCCCTCTTCCTCCTCTTGCTCCTCCTCCTCCGCCTCCTCCTCATCATCTTGCACGTCCGCCTATGCATCCCCCTCGTTCCTCCCTCCTCCTCGCCCCCCTCCCCCCTTCGTCGTCCTCCCCAGATTCCTCATCCTCCTCCCCCTCCTCTTCCTCATCCCCCTCCCCCCCCCCCCCTCCATCATCCCATCTTTGGGTCTGGCGGATTCCCCAGCCCTCTGGTCAACTGCATGCTCATCCACGTCCCTGATCAGGGCAACCCACCCGAGCATCGTAACTGGCTGGGCTGGCGGGGAAGTACTTTTTTGTTTACAGGCCGCTGGCGGAGGAAGGCCGCGCAGCGTCCGTAGGTCGATCGAAGGCCTGGCCCGCGTGGAACAGGGCAGAAGCCCAGACTACAGCAGGCACACGCGGAAAAGAAGCGACGCGGGAAAGGACGAAGAGACGACGAGACGAGCGACGAAAGAGGGAAGCCCGAGAAAAAGGCAGAGCCGCTCAGAGGCACGGGACCGAACCCAGGATCACCAGGAGCACGTCGTTCACAAGGTAAAAGCCCAGCGCCAAACGCCAGTGTGTGATCAGCACCCTCCGTACACCAGAAGCCAATCGTCGAGCGTCGTGAGCCCGCCAGGGACAAGCATGTAATATTGGCATGGAGTGCCACGACCATGAACCAGCGGCCAGGAACCAGACGAGGCACGCGATGGTGGGCTTACGCGAAGCTTCTAGAAGCCCGAGGTATTGCCCATGCCCCACCCAGCCCGCCCCCCATCCCCCAACAGAATACGATAGTATCAGATCTCGATCCTCACGCATCCGACGACGTGTTGCTTCCAACTCCGCAGCTCCAGGGCTCCCAGCCCCTTTCCTCAGGGCTGGGATCCACTTTGAATAGCCCCTGGTCCCGAAGACAGCCCCCAGAAGCCCAAGTCGACGGGTCCCTGGTCCCGAAGACAGCCCCGAAATCACAAAAAATGTGGTATGGCCCATCGATCCGCCCCCTCTTGGAGTAGCACGGGCGTCGTTTGGCTCGCCCCAGCGCGCCTGATGCCCAACATCTCGGTCAGCGGCGTGCGCAGCGTCTCCGACCCTGCAGAAGAGTCCCAGGGATACACGAGGCCACGCCACTTCCCGTCTGCCATCCCCTCCCCATCCTCATCCCAACTCCATCCTCCCTCCTGCTTCTCCATCCGCGTCCTCCTCCTCCTCCGCCTCCACCTCCTCCGCCTCCTCCTCCTCCTCTTCCTCCTCCATCCTCCTCCGCATACTCCTCCTCCTCCTCCTCATCCTACCCCTCGTCCTTTCTGATATGTCCATCAGTCGTACTCAAGATGCTCAATCCTCCTCCTGCCCCTTCTAGTCATCCTCCTCATAATTCCCAACATCGTCATCAACATCAGCCTCATCATCATCATCAGCAGCATCATCATCATCATCAGCATCATCATCATCAGCATCAGCATCATCATCATCAGTCTCAGTATCATCATCAGCATCATCAGCATCGTCATCATCAGCATCACCATCATAATCAGATTATTCATCCTCATCGTCATCATCATCATCACCCTCATCCTCACCATCAGCAGCAGCATCATCAGTATCATCATCATCAGCAGCTCCATCGGCATCGTCATCAACATTACCCTCAGCAGCAGCATCATCACCACGACCACGACCACCACCATCCTCCTACTCTGATCATCGCCCTCACATTCTTGATCGTCCACCTCCTCCGCCTCCACTTCCCATTCCTCCTCCTCATATTCCTCATCATCCGCCTCCTCCTCCTCCTCCTCAGCATCAGCATCATCATGATCATCAGCGGCATCATCAGCATCATCAGCATCAGCATCCCCCCCACCACAATCGTCATCATCATCGTCAACAGCATCATCATCTGCATTATCATCATCAGCATTATCATCAGCATCACCGTCATCTGCATAATCATCAGCAGAAGAATCCTGATCATCGGTATCATAATCATCATCAGCAGCAGCAGCATCCACATTAGCATCATCATGTTCAGCAGCGTCGTCATCAGCATCAGAGTCAGTATCATCCGTATCAGCATCATCATCGTCAACCTCATCATCATCGGCATCCTCATCATCGTCAGCAGGCAGCAGCAGCATCATCACCACCACTGCAATCATCATCAACATCATCGTCAACATCATCATCATCATCAGCATCAGCATCATCATCAGCAGCCTTATCATCACCATCATCATCAGCATCATCGTCGTGGTCATCATCACCCGCATCATCATCAGCCGCATCATCAGCAACAGCTGCATCATCACCACGCCTCGTCCTCCGCCTATCATCATCGGTCCTCCCGCGTCCCCGTCAGCCTCATCATCATCATCAGCATCATCATCATCAGCTGCAGCATCAGCATCAGCATCATCATCATCATCAGCATCGTCAGCAGCATCATCATCGTAAACATCACCCTCATCAGCATCACTATGACCATCATCATCATCACCATCAGCATCCGCATAAGCATCACCATGATCATCAGTATCATCATCATCATCATCATCATCATCGTCGTCGTAGTCGTCATAGTCGTCGTCGACATCAGCAGCATCGTCATCAGCATCATCATCATCAGCAGCAGCATCGTCATCGTCGTCGTAACCCTTAACCTCAGCAGCATCTTCAACACCAAGCAACACCATCAAAATCAGCAGCAGCAACCGCAATCAATCAGCAAAAAAGCATCAAAAATCAGCACCATCAGCATCAATCATCAAAATCAATGATCAGAACCACAATCATATCGAAATCACCATCAGCCGCAGCATAAACACCATCAGAAGTGTCGTCATCGTCCTCAGCAGCAGCGGCATCAGCAACAGCATCAACTCATCATCCTCATCAGAAGCCGCAGCCTCAGCGCCGATGTCGTCGTCGCATACTCGCCCATCAGCAGCATCATCATCATCAGCAGCAGCATCATCACCATCATCATCATCATCATCATCATCATCATCATCATCATCATCATCATCATCATCATCATCATCATCATCATAGTCATCATCATCATCATCATCATCATCATCATTGTCATCATCATCATCATCATCATCATCATCATCATCATCAGCGTCATCATAGTCATCATCATCAGCAGCAGCATCCGCATTATCATCATCATTAGCATCAGCATCCCAACATCCCCATCCATCATCAGCAGCATCATCATCAGCATCAGCAACATCGTCATCATCATCAGCAGCAGCATTATCATCATCAGCATCATCATCATCATCATCATCGTCGTCGTCGTCGTCGTCAACGTCGTCGTCGTCGTCAGCATCATCATCATCATCATCCTCATCAGCAGCAGCATCAGCGCCGTCGTCGTCGTCGTCGCCGTCGTCCATCATCATCATCATCATCATCATCATCATCACCACCACCATTATAAGTATCATCATCAGCATCATCGTCGTCATCGTCAGCAGCAGCATCATCATCATCATCATCAGCATCATCATCAGCATCATCAGCATCATCAGCATCACCATTATCCGGGACATCATTATCCGAGACATCACCCTTAGCGTAAACAACATCAGTATCATCAGCACACGCATCCTTATCATCATCATGATCAGCAGCCTCGCTATCATCAGCATATTCGTCAGCGGTGATACGAACATCCATATCAGATATTGGCATCGTTCACAGCGCCAGCGGTAGCAGCATCGTCATCATTATCATCGTCGTTGTCGCCGCCTTAGTTGCCATCGCAATCAGCACATCAGCAGCAGCAGCATGATTCCCCTATCCTCCTCCTTCCTCCCTCCTCTACTCTCCTTCCATCCATCGCTCTCCTCCCCCATCCTGAATTCAGAAATCCTCCTTCTCCTCCTCCTCATCCTCCTCCTCCTCCGTCTCATCCCCCTCCTCTTCCCCTCTACTTCTCGCCCCTGCGCGAACTTGATGGCAGAAGGAAGGGCCGTGCCATGGCCGTTTGCGCTCAACGTAGCCGCGGGAAACTCACAGGGCGAGCCCGCAACATAAGTGCCATGAACATCACAGGTTTGAGATCGTCAACTTTTGTATTGAGGGAATGCAGGTGTCGCGCCCTGGCTGTGACGTCCGAGCATCTTCATCAAAGTATCAGACTCTGACAAGCATCGTCATTATAATGTTCATCCCTCCTCCCCTCCCTCACCCCCTCGCCTCACCTCCCTCCTTCCCTCTATTCTCTCCCAGCTCCTACTCCTCCTCTTTCTCCTGCTCTTCCACCTGCTACGCATACTCCTCCTCCTACTTAATTTAATTATCCTCCTGATGCTGACGATGTCGGCGGTTCTGTTGTGACACCTGGCACCATCGATACCTCCGCCCACGACCAATGCTGAGAGCGAGATGTTCTTCCTCCTTCTGGTCCTCCTCGTCCTCTTCCTCCTCCTTCCTTCCTGTTGCTGATACTGGTGGCGTTTCTGATGCGGCACATGGCGCCATCGACGCCCTCGCCCCAAACCAACACTGAGGAGCGACGTTCCCCTGCTCGTCCTCCTCCTGCTGCTGCTCCTTGAGGAAGACAGACCTGCGTGAACAAAAAAAAACTACCACACCCCCACCCAGAGGGGCGAAGGGGGAGGGAGGGAGGGCAGGGAGGGAGAGATCTGAGGGAGGGAGGGAGGAGGAAGCGAAGGAGGAGGAGGAGGAGCAGGAGCAAGAGAAAATGGAAAAGGAAGATCGAAGACGGAACACCGGCATAACCGTGATCATGCGAAGATCGGCACGGTGCTCTGAGCGCGCCAGGGTCGGCACCAGAGGCGCCGCCAAGGGGGGGGTCCAGCGCAGATCCAAGAAGTCCCTGCGAACCTCCACATGCTCACGGATGTGCCAGCGTTTCGTCATCGATCATCCTCCTCCTCCTCCTCCTCCTCCTCATCATCATCATCATCATCTCCATCATCATCATCAGCATCATCATGATCATGATCATCATCATCAGCATCATCATAATCATCATCATCATTATCATCGCCATCATCATCATCATCATCATCATCATCATCATCATCATCATCATCATCATCATCATCATCATACTCATTCTCCTCCTGCTCCTCCTCCTCCTCCTCCTCCTCCTCCTCCCTCTCCTGCTCCTCCTCTTCCTCCTTCTCCTCTTCCTCCTTCTCCTCCTCCTCCTCCTGCTCCTCCTCCTCCCTCTCCTGCTCCTCCTCCTCCTCATCCTCCCTCCTCCTCCTCCTCCTTCTCCTCCTTCCCTCCCTCCCTCCCTCCCTCTCATCTCTCCCTCCCTCCCTTCTTCCCTCCATCATCCCTTCCTTGTCCTCCTCCTACCTCCTACCTCGGTCCTCCCTCCTCGTTCTCCCTCCCTCCCTCCCTCCCTCCTCGTCCTCCCTAGGCTGGCGCCAGCGGCGCGCGGACGCTGCTTGGGACACCCCCCTGGGGCTCCTGCCGCCATCGCGCCGGCCCAAGCGGCGCGCGAGCGCGCGCGGAGGGGCCTGCGCGAGCGCTCGGGCGGCAGTGGTGCTGGAGCCCTGGCCAGTGGAAGAGGAAGAAGAAGAAGAAGAAGGAGAAGAAGAAGAAGGAGGAGGAGGAGGAGGAGGAGGGGGAGGGGGAGGGGAAGAGAAGGGGAGGAGGACCGACGAGGAGGAAGAGGAGGAAGAGGAGGAGGAGAAAAGGAGGAGGAGAAGAAGGAATCGGAAAAGAGGAGGAGGAGGAGGAGGAGGAGCCGAAGACGAGGGAGGAGGGAGGAGAGAGGAGGGAGGGAGGAGGAGGGAAGGACGCAGGGAGGGGAGGGTGGAGCACGAGGTCGAGCTCCTCCGGTCCGAGCTCGCAGGAGGCGCCAACGACACAGGTGCTCCGATCCTGGACAGGCTCACCTTGGACCCAGGATCGGTGTATACGCAATTCTGGCTCGGCCAGGAGCAAGACAGTCTGGACGTTGTATAAAAGCACATGCATATATCCATACATCCATACATACATGACATACATGCATGCATGCATGCATTCATACATACATACAAATCTGGCAGACTGGCATACACGCATACATGCAAATAGGTACGTACGTACGTACATGCATGCATACATGCATACCTGCATACCTGCATGCATACATGCATATATGCATGCAAGCATAC